GGGGGCCAGGGAGGGCTGGGGGTGGGGCCTGGAGCACACTCTGTCTTCTCTCTAAGCTGCAGGCGCCCTCTAGACTGCTGGGCAGATTGAGTGCCCTGACAGGCATCCAGGGTCCCCTGACACGAAGCCAACTGGAGCTCAGACCCAGTAGGACAGCGCATGGGGAAGGCTCCCTGAGTCTCCACGTGGGTCACTCAGACCAATTGCTCCTGGGTGCCCTGGGTGGGGACGGGGGACAGCCGGGCATGCAGAGGCACTGGGGCCACAGGCCCCCCCTCCCCACTGCCCTTCATATCACACACAGGCTGAGGACCAAAGCGGGCTCCAGGTGAGACCAGGGTACACTTAGGAAGGCATAGGGGGCCCTCTCTGCTTGCCTACCCTGCCTGCATGAGCACCCTGCATCTTGTGACCACCCACAGTCAGAAACCAGCCCCCATGACTCCCCCGATGTACCCCGACTTGCGCTGGAGTGCTGCGTGCCTGCTCCTACAACCAGCGCCCACACACTATGCCACCTGGCAGCTCCTGCAGCCCCACCCCAGGAGCGCCACCCATGCTGGGGGAGGGTGTCTCACCAGCCCCAGCCCCACAGAGGTCTTATCCTGGTCACTGTCTCCCCAGCAGCCTTCCAAGACCCCTGCATGCTCCCGTGCGCGGTCTGGTGAGGGCTTGTGCCCTGCGTCACTTGGGGGCTGCATGGGGACGTGGGGCTTGGGACGTGAGCTGTCACAGGAGGGGTGGTGGCCTTTCACTGAAGCTGAACAGCTTTGACCTGACCCATTTCTGCCACAAACTCTCGTCTGTGGAGTCGGCCGTCTGCACCGACACCATCTTAGGGACAGTGTCCTGTCACACCAGGGCCCTGGAATGACCCACAGGGCACACCTGGCTCTGCTGAGGGTACCAGCCCCAGGGCTGCCCCACCAACCAGGATGTGACTGCACCAGGACACGGCAGAGCCAGTGATAGCGTCTGCTGGCTGCAGCCAGAGCTGAGACAGCTGGGCCCCAGACCAGCCTGGCCTTGGCGTTTGCTGGGCAGCCATGGCCCAGAGAAGCCTGTGTCCCGGGAGGGGGTGGGAGGTGGGGGAGAGGGAGGGAGACAGAGGCTAAGCTCCAAGCGTGGTGCTTTTCAAAGCTCACAATGGTTGCAGAGAGCAAGGCTGGGTGAGGTCAGTACCGGACAGTCAAGCGGAGCTCGCACTGCTCCCTGAGCATCCCCTGAGCTCCTTCAACACCCCGGCCCTTCAGCGCCAAGCAGACAGCATCATCAACCCCAGAGCTGCCTCCCAGTGAAGCACACAGTTCATCAGGGAGCTGGGCAGGTCCAGACCTGAGTCTCCACTTTCAGAGCTGGACCGTAGCCTCGAGCTGGTGGGTCCATCCGCTGAATGGTGAGAGCTGTTTCGACAACGGACATGTATGTATGACATGCTGAAAACAGCTGTCCTGCACTGACTGGCGACCCCGAGTCCTTCTGGGGCATCTTGGTTGAGTGGCTCATATGGTGGCTATCCCTGCTCTGAGTAGGAGGCCTTGTCCCTGTCACCCCAGGCAGCACAAGGCAGACAGTCATATGGTGGCTGGGCAGACACACTGAACTGTTGGGTTGGACTTCAAGCAGCTCTGAGGCCTGGGTTTGGCTCAGCCATGCCCTGGGCTGCTGTAGTCCTCCCCTGTGACTCACAGAGCTGACGCAGACCACAGAACAGGGCTCTGCTTGTCACTAACACCCCAAGTTGTAGTTCCCACCCTCGCAACTCAACACGGAGGCTGGTTCTTGTCCCTGAACTGTCTCTCACTCTCTAAACCATGAGCCCCAACCACAGAGTCCACAGCACCCCCCTTTCAGGAACAGACGGACGTGACATCACTCAGACCCCAAAATGAGCACCCTAGATGCGAAAATTAGTGAAAGCACAAAGTGTATGAGTAAAGGCATTTTAAGGCCACTCTTACAAAGTGAGTGAGTCTGAATGTGCCCACAAAGAAGTGGCTACCAGCCTGCTCCTCCTGAGTGTCCACATATCTGCTGTACACAGTATGCAAAGAACAGAGACATGGACATGGGTGTGCTGGGGTCATGCAAATGGACGCAGATACAGGAGATTGAAGTCTTTATACATACTTGGAAATGAATAGTATAGATTAAGATTTAGATATGGATAGGGGCCCAGATATGGATGCAATGTGGATATGCAGAAAAATATAAGAGACATGAATATATGGACACAAATGTGCATGTGGGTATAGCTATAGCTTCAGTGTGAATATGCCTACAGGCACAAGAACTATAGACATATGAGACAGATGGAGATATGGATGTGATGTGTATGTGCATGGAGAGATAAATTATTATATGAGTATGGGAGTGGATATATGGAAAGATACAGATATGGGATAGAGAGATAGATGATAGATAACCAATATATAGATATACACCTATGTATATAGGCATAGATACACAAGGAATACCTGCCTGAGACAAACACTTGGTCAATGTGCTCAGCTGCTGACTGAAAGTTTGGATGTTTGTGTGCACCCCAAGGTGCTCTGGGAGAAAAAACTGGTGATTGACATCTCAAAATATCAGACATTGAAAAAAAAAAGAAGAAGCAGAGAAAGAAAGAGAAGGAGGAGAAAAGCAAAGCTAAGAACCATGTGGGACGCCACCAGGAAGTACAACATGGTGATCGAAATCCCATAACAGGAAGAGATAACCTTGCAGAGAGAAAATTGTCCAAGGGTTATTAGAAGAAAACGTCCCCCGTCATATCATGAAAG